AGATTATTAATACTAAAGGTAACTGTTTAATACAGCCGGTGAGAGGGAGAGTTGAGGGCTGTCAGATCCTCATTTATGCCTCATTTAGATCTTAATTCTTGAGGTGGTTATTTTTTTTATGAAACCTGCGAAGAGAGGGAGAATAAAGTTCCAATGAGGCAAAGTGTAAGGTTACGGTTCACAATATGACATCAATACGCATGCGTTCAAAACCGAGCCCCGTAAAGACGACAATTCATAGCCATTTTTTGCTATAGACCACAGGGAATATGAGCGACTATCTGTCTAATATAAGAACACGCCTAGAAAAATTACTTTCCCCTATCCACTAGTTGAAAAGTGCCGTCGTACAAATTGTCCTTTAACCTACTTTTCAAACGTTACAAACCATCTCAGGAACTGGAAGAGGAAAATACAAAAAAACTTTTAGGAAAAATTTCACATTTTTGACTTAAGTTGGAAAGATAACTTACAATCCAGACAGACGAATTTTGCAGATGAGCACACAACCGATCAATATATTTATCGACAGAATTTAAAGATCACGTTAAAGAAATAAACAACATTTACTAAAGAAATGAAAAACGCGCCGGGTGCACAGTTGAGTTATATAAGACATATAAGCACTTGGGAATTTTTAAGAACACGAGGAAGTGCAGAGAAACAAGAGCCGAAGGCGAGTGCTTCTCGCACTTCTCGAGCGCGCGCGCGCGGAAATATAATGAACTCGTTCTGACCAATCACGGCGCGCGCATTTCTCTAAACATTTTATAAAAATTATAACGACGCATGTTGAGACAATATGCCTAATTATCTTGCATGGCAGCTGTTGACCTATCGCAAACTGATGTTCTCACACATTTATCGACCTACAAAATGACGATTGGATAGAATTTACCACAAATAGATGAGAATATCTGAACAGCAAAACCGTAAACAGTAAACTCCTTTGTTTGAAGCTTAATTCTTGTCGATTCATTATGAAAAGAAAAGAAAAATCAGTGTCCACGAATTCAAAGTCACATAAGATTTGATTCAGTGAGTTATCCTGCAGGTCTTGTCGATTAACATAAACAACAAAACTTATCAAGTTTGTCTCTGTTGTTGGTAGAAAACATCCAAATAACTTGCATGTAAACACAACGATTCTTTGTGAGACACTACCAGTTCTCAGACTCTCATTTGTACCTCCACTTTCAACTGAAATGAGAAAAAAATTAACAATAACACTAACAAAATTCAAATAAAAATGACTAAAAACTGAATACTTATGAACAAGAAGATAACAACCTAAAAGTGTGCGACATACCAACGTAAAATGAAATCCGTATAAAGAGAATCCCAGCAGTGCGCAAGAAACTAACGTACATTATCATATGACCCGTACAGCCTCGCGCATCCACTTCTATAGAAAACCATAATAATAGCTGCCGTACATGTAAGTAGGGCCGAACGGGTTGACGTTAGCAGGAGGGGGGCGTTGCTGGAAGGTTGCTTAACGGGCCCGTAAAGCTTTCCAGTCTTCGATTATGGCATTTGATATTAGTTCTTATTTGAAATATCAGTTGTAGTAAGAAATGCGCTACTTCTGCATTTTACCTCTGAATATAAATATTGTCTTTCACTTGGATTTCTTGTTTGAAGCATTAAGGATAGTGATCAAGTGTCCTCTGAGTGGGTAGAAGTGTTTCAGTGAGCTCTGCACGTAGTTTTCGATGTTCCCTATTAAAAAATCATGAAACCACTTTGGGATCAGTAAGAAAGAATTCCGCAAACACATCGAGAAAAATCCTTTTTTGGAGCATGTTATTCCAGTTTGCTTCCAGTCTCAAAGAAGTCAGGCATTTGATAATTAGGCTCTGTGATGCATGATTCTGGAATCACGTCAAAAAAAATCTTTTTCAGCAAATGATAAACTATAAAATCAGTGAGATAAAAACGTAAAGTTTTGGAACATACTATTTTAATCTGGTTTAAGCTCGGATATTGTTGATAATTAAGCTCCAATATTTTTATTGAATCACGTCAGAAAAGAGGGCTGTATCGTGCAATTATTGGAAAACACTCTAGAAGAAATTGAAAGGACAAAAATAACTTGAGTGTACTCTTCATTTTGGTTGTAGCTTAGCTGAAGAGCTCAAACATCATCAAATTTTTGATAGGCCTAGATAGTTTATTTGTTTTAAAAAGCCAATTATCTCACTTTGTGAGAAATTATCAGGTACTTCTTTCCTTTCGTGACTTTTTCCGACGAGATGTTCTAATTATCGTCTTGATACTGTCCTGGGGAGAAAAAAAAAAGAGACTAATAAATTATGAATACGTACTACATACCTCAGTGGTTTTCGTTCAAAATAGCAAAGGTCAATTGCAACATCTGGATTAAAAAAAAACCCATTTTCTGCTGACATTTTCTCATCGAACAAAGGCATTACGAAATTTTACTGAACTAACTTACCAAGCAATCGAAAACAAAATGTGTAATTATTCGAGAATAACGAAGCTAACTTTGAGTATTGCTCCTTTACCTGAGAACTACATGTGTATTTGACAAGCCTAGTGTCGCCATGGTAATTTAATACCAATGTTTGCCACCAAGAGATACGGAGCGATACGGCTTCATTTAAAACTTAAGTTGGTCTTAAATCCACCAGATTTATTATGACGTTTTGTTATAACGTTTTTGGATTGCCGTTTCAATTTACTCTTTCTTTAGCTGGGTTGAAAGCTAATGGAAAGAACCAGTGCATTCAAAACACGCTTTAGGTCAACACTCAACAATCATAATAGCTCGTTAAACAAAATTTACAGGAAAGAAAAGAAAAGTAAGCAAATAAGCGATAAGTACCCTAACGATAAGGGACAAATTTCTCGCGTTGCCAATAAAGTCACGTCCAAGAAGAACTGTCATGGTGGCTGCCTCCGAGGATTTGTTTTCCATTTTGCTATGGGTATTACTTTCTTTCTTCTTACATTTGACTCTGTAAATTGAATTTACAAGAGCCGTAACGAGAAAGATGAACACTGTATCAATATACAAATGTATCGTTCCATATAGAGATTATTTACCTGTAGAAAAGTGACTTAGAAGAAAAGCATGAATCCTCGACAAGTTATCGGAACCACTTGATCCAGCATAAGAAACACTCGCCAGCCTGGACAGATTAGATACATATATATATAGATCCAAGGCAATAAGGTCCAAATGTTTCATGAATCCATAGAAGCTAAAAAAGGCGTTCAAATATTCTTGAAGCTCATAAATTCTTTCCACGTGCAAGACTGAGCGCAAAATGACGTGAATATTAATTTTGAAAATGATTTGTAATTCAAATAAGTTTTCGACTTGAAAGGCGGGTTCAGAATAAGCGACATCGAGTTCCTCGGTCTGATCCGTTCAATTTTAAAACGAAGTAGGATGCTTTGTTTGACTACATCTGAATATTCAAGTCTCCTCAGGTTTTTTCTGGTAATTTCCTGTGAAAAATTTTGCAGGCAGTGCATTCTCGTGCATATTAAACTATCCTTATGGGCTCCACGACGAACGCTCTTCTTTCCATTTGAGTATTCTTTCTCTTCTTAATAATTAAGTCCAAGAATAGAGCGAGCAAGTGAATACAGGTTCATACCTAAACTACATACACTGTTTTCTTTTTTTATATTAGAACTTTTTTTTGGTGTCAGTAATGCAACCGTGTAGACGTTGTTGAATTAATTTAAAAGAAAGAAAAGTAACCTCAAGAGAATGCTCACTCATCGACAAATTCTTTTTCAAAGAATTTTTAGGAAGGGATGACAGGACAAGGGGGTGATTTGGAACTGTACAGGAATAAATGGTAACGAAAAAAGCGCCTAGAATGGGTGGTCAAAGGTAAGAACGTATGAAAACGCACATCAAAGCAGGGAAATACTTCCTAATGTGCACAATTACGCAGCAACGGGTAGAGCAAAAGTTTGCGTTAGAAATGCGCGGGAATACAGTCAACGTAAGGAGACGGGTAGGAACGCAGAAAGTAAACGTGTTTGCGCATTGAGTTCAGAAGAACGCAGATGGTGTAGAAACACACGGAAAGTGGACAGCACGATAGGCGATTCAAAAACGCACACGGAACGCATAGAAATTCGAGGATATACGTTAAACGCAAAGGATTTCGTAGAACACAAAACATACATACAAGTAGGAGCCCCACATAGACATTTCCACGTATTTATTGAAGCAAGTTCGTTCTCTCTGCCACTAGTATGTACTCTAAAGGGTTGAAAGAACCAGGAAATGCTCAAGATTGGACTCTAACCATAATTTCGTACAATTTCAATTTTCTTAAAGTATATAACCTTTTCTCCTCTTAAATAACTTATGGGCTAACAAATACAACCTACAAATAATATCCTACTGCAGATGTCTACCATTATGATAGCGATTCCTTACACGAAAACCCACTATTTAAAATCCATTATGTACAGATCATTATATATACCTTATGGACCCTTGAATGCCAAAGTAAATGTTGTGATAAACAGGGACAAGGGACGTGAATGAAATTTTTCATTGAGCAGATACAGTCTAAATATATATATAGGAAAAAAATTATATCAGAACCACCACAAACAGAAATGCGCGATGACTAACCATAAGAATAATGTTGGAAACGAAAAGGTTTCAAAAGAGGCAAACGGATCAATTGTTGAGGGCGTGACCACCTAGGGGGTGGGGGTGGGGTGGACTACACAGTTCAAGTCATGAACTGATTATATAGTGCGTAGTACTGCTAATGTAACTAAAGGAGGACACACAAAATTCTAAAATTATCTGTCCTATTGCACAGACCTTATTTCCACTGGATAAATCTCTCTTCAATGGATGCGAAGTACACTTTGTCAATATCTGGCCCCGGTTGTTCGAAGGTTGGACAACGCTATCCACTGGATAAATCTCTATCCGCTGAATAACGCTATACGTTTTGCCATCACTAATCCGTTGGATAGCATTATCTGCCCTATATACGACTGGACCCTCGCTGACTGCGATTCATCTGTTGGATAGCGGTCATTATTTTAGTATCAGCCCTTTGAACAACTGGGACCGGTACTAGAGCGAAACTGCACACAAATCCGAGAGACCTACTTCGACGACCAACAGCTTCGCCCTGATAAGGTATTCTCCCTTACCCAAAGTAGCATCTTAAACCTGACTAAGAATATTTATACCTGCATATCTGTAAATTAAGCTCTTGCTTTGGTCAAGAGAACCTTGGTAGACGGTAGATGACCTCATAAATATTACTGACTCGTTATCAGAAAGTAAATTTTAAGTACTCAATTATCATTATGGACTCAGTAAGTCCAAATTTGCCTCTAATGGGAATTCAACCGCGAACAAAATTGTCCATTATTATAACTAGAATTAACTTATGTTTGACTGCCGCCGACTTAAAATATTTCTCCCTTTTATCGATGAAAGATAACAATTTATCATAAATGTAACTGATCCTTTTTGCTTTACGTCGACGGTGAGAATTCTTACTCTTCATTCCCCGCACTCCTCTCAGATGGACCAAAATTTTATACTCTTTGGATTTCAAACAGTTTGACATCCGTATCATACCAGATTGGGGGATCAATGTTCCTGAAAAACAGAATGCAAGTGAGGTGAATGACATGGCTGTTGAACTAAACTTTTTTTCCATTTTTTACCTTTTTTCCGTTTTAATATTTCATAACTGTTTATTTTTTTAAAAAAACTGAGGGCTCGCACGCCTTGATTTTCCCGCCAAAGGTTGCCGAGCGCGCGTCAATTTTCCCGCCCAAACTCATTTTTGAATTAAAAGTAGTTAATAGGTTTCTGCTTTCCTTTCCCCCTTACAGGGTTTACAGCGTGCGGAACGCGAGTGTACACCACTTAACGCGAGTGTACACCACTTAACGCGAGTGTACACCACTTAACGCGAATGTACACCACTTAACGCGAGTGTACACCACTTAACGCGAATGTAGATGTAAATGTAGCTTTAACGCGAGGATAAACTTTGCTACTTGGTTTTAAACCTCTACATTTTCCTTGGAGAGCTGATTACTTATTTTTTTTGTTTACCTGAGGTAAATAATTCCCCACATATAAGTTCGGAACCACATCTGAGTACCACTGTTGGCCTGTAACGGAATAATAGACATTTAAGAGTGTCATCAAATTCTGCCTGACGGATAAAACCACAGCAATTATCTCTGAAGAACTAACAGCACCTTTTGGCTGGGGGGGATTTCGTGAGATCCAGCTACCTTAAAAGGATCTCACACAAAACTTACTTCCGAACCAAAAAGTTTTCGAGCGAAAAATTCCCAAATTTCCGAAACTTTTCAACAACCCTGTAGCTGAATACTCATCCTCTTGTTAACCCTTAGCACTCTAACATCAGTATGCATATTCTCCATACTGTTCTCTATACATTTCCTAAGGTGCTGACAAGGAGAATTCAGTGTTTAACAATCAAGAGCTTCTTTAGCTGGTGATCATTTCCTTTATTCTCATGACCTTAATGTTTGATTTAATGGAGAAATTGTAAGGAGAAATTAGTTGCTTGTCACTCTTAAGGGTCAAAGTGTTAAACTTCCACGCGCATACACTAAATGTTTGCAAACTCTTCGAGATACCAAATGTAACAGAAAGCGTGACTCATCAGTGGTTACAGAAGTTTACATACCTGGTATTTTCTGATTAAGATTGGGTGTGGCACGGGTAGAAGACCGACCAATGTGCCATGCTGAAGAAACTTGATTATTTCAGACTCATCCGTCAAACCCCTATCAAAACAACAAAAATACATCAAACAGAGCCGAAAAAAAACAACAAAAAAAAAAATACAAAACTGAAAGTAACATGAACATGAACATTCATCATTGATGATTAACTTACTTGTCTATGCAAATCTTTTCCACTTGAGGAACTAAAACTTGAAGCATTCTCATTATCGTCTGCAGTGGAAGCTTCTGTTTCCAAGACTGGACCTACAGAATGAAGAAAAACCGGAAATAAATGCACACACGATTTTCTTTAAAAGTATATAATTGATTTTAAGACTAAAGAAGGGCACTCACGACTTAAAACAACTCTGGGTACGTGCCACGATGAGCCTTTTTGAGGATGATGTAAGATCAAATTCTGAGAACGGACATTTGAAGAACTTTGCAATCACCATTGGAGAGAGTTCATGTTTTGATAAAAACTTCAAAGTGGAAGATTCACTCACCCATTCAGGCGTTGCTACAAATGGCCCTGAGCTTGTGACAGAAACAGATCGTCCAATAGATTTTCTCTCTGTGCGGGATGTTCCAGGGGTACTGGGTGGGGTTGCTTCCCCAGGGGACCGTGCTTCTACATCGCTAGTTTCTGATTCACTGGCAGGATTGCGAACTTCTTTCACAGACACTAGGACAAAAAGAAAGAGCTGTTGTTAGCATGTCCAGTTTGTGGCACTGCTAAATAATCATGTCCGCTTAACAACACTCAAAATTAAATATAAATAAAGCAAAGTGCTAACTATTGACTACATACGGACCTATCTTGTTTGCAATTTGTATCATTTTTTTTTCCATTCCTGCATTATTTCAATTCCTTCCTTTGGGTCGTTACTTCTATGTATTTCTTCTCTTTCCATGTTAATATGTTGTCGCTCTCTTCATTTTGACAATCATTTTCTTTTTTGATCCAAAACTTATTGCAACATTTATTCGCTTACTGTCTGCGGACATCTCCGGTAAACCCTCGGCCGCTGAAGCACTCGTTCCAGCCTTCTTTTCTTCTCCCTCACTGCCTGAGGTCTGGGCATCCCTGATAGAAAATTCAACATTTTCGTGACCAACTGCCGCATAAATGTTCATGCACTCATTGAGAAAATGGGTTAACCCTTTCACTCCCACATTTCATTACTGTCTACTACAAAATTACTATGATTCTAGTGTGGAGAATTTGGTATTGGATCAACTACTGATCTCCCAATTGACATTTCTCTTTATTCTCATCACTTGTCTGCTTGATATTGTATTGATATTGTCAGAAAAAATTCTGTCTAGGTCACTCATGGGAGTTAAAGGGTTACTGCTGTTCACGTATCATACATCAGTAGGGGGAATTAGCGGCTACTCTAGCCACGAACAGTTCCACAAATGAAAACATTGTGCACAGAAATCTTACTTGTCTGAACCTTGGGATGTAAGTCTCCTTCTTGGCTTCTGAACAGTAGCAGGATCGGTTGGAAGATTTGCCAACTTCAGGAGAGAAAACGGTCAAAAAATAATTGCAAGTGAAAAGATAAACTCGAACAGCATGGACTCACTGCCTTTGCTCAGACTCTCTCTTAATATTAGTCACTTCTAGCCTAATGCTGTAAATCAATAAAACAACAACAACACTAGTTTCCTATTTTCTCAAGTTCTAATACTCATTTTTTCAACATTTGATATTGGTTAGTTCACTCTGAAAACAATTAGTACACTATAGGTTTACGATGAGCAACTAAAAACTTTACTGTATGAAAGCACTGAACAGCTAAACAATTATTTAAACAGATGAATAACAACTTCAACGCCATAACTCATACGGAGCTTACCTGGTGGAAGATATTTCTCTTTCTTATAATTGCATACACGAGATGAGAGTTTCCTAAAGTAAAAGAAACCCAGTTAAAAAAAGTTACAGGAAACATATTCAGTATGCAAAAATCATTTGTTTGTTTTTGTTATGACTTTTTTCATATATTTTTACCAAAATTGATGGGGAAGTATTGTGCAAAAATAATAAAGGTGAAATGGGCGAATTTTGTTCTTTGTTCTTGTGAAGTTTCTGTAAAGGCTCAAGCAAAGTTTGTGCAAAGATTCACAGCTTTTCAAGTCTCATTTCCCTGGAAAAAAGGGCACTATTTCTTCAGACATTTGTGACAAAATGTAAGTTTGTCTTGATAACCAGCTATTGTTCAGGTCATTAACTTGTATTCCTCCAAAACGGAGAGTGAGAAAAGAGAGATCTCGACTGCAAACTACAAACATCATCAATGTGTCTGTCCTCCAAGAGCTCATACATAAGAATCAATCAAAATTTGCACCTAATTCAACTTATTATAAAAAGTGTCTTACCATCAAATTGATACTGAATGATGTTATTAAAGATCTCCAGCAAGAAAAACACTAAATGGTGATTGGTGGCATTGGAAAACAGGAACCAGGGAGTGGAAAATGCCTGAAAAAAACAAAATGGAAAAAATATTCAGCCTATGAGTTTGAAAAAGAGGGTAATCTGTTAATGAAGGAACACAAAAAAAGTGGAATTACCTGTAGCATTTTCATTTACATAACACAAAAAAGAAACAACAAAGTGTCTTTGGAAATTCAACTTCAGTTCCCAAGCCCAAACAACCTTTGCAAAGAAAAGTAAAATTAGCATGCTCTTACCTCCAAAAGATGAAGCAATTTATTGGCTGCCACCATTGATAAGGATTTCAAATAGGGAGAAACTGTAAAGAAAGAAGAGTAAACAGGGTCAGCTGAGAATGACACTACCCTTGGGTGACTAAAATGTGACCTGGAAATAAAATTAATTTTGAATGCATGAAAACGTGTGGTTGGCAAAATCAAACCTTTAGGTCACCCAAGCAGGCATGCATTTGTATGATGTAAATGCAGTGTTTTTTTTTTTGGTAAAAACACATATGAGAAAATGATTGACTGTAGGTTCAAGACACTAGGGAATAAGTCACTTGGATAGATATCTGTAACAAACCCCAAGTGCATTGCTCCTGAACAAGTTGCTAAAGCATAATTGCAATCGACCCATTTTCTTGCCCTGATCACATGCAATAATTAAACCATTTTGAATTTGTAGGCTTTGTTTTCACCAACAAATCTGTTACAAAGATATGGACTTAAAAAGAATTCTGTAACATTTCACTTGAAGCATATTGTATCTCGGCCTTACCCCAATGAGTCCCATGACTTAACACCACAGTTATTAACAGTAATCATTGTACTCTTACCATTGACAATAATTGTCAAAAGACAGTCAAACAGTGGTTGAAGTCTTTGATGTCCATTTGTAATGATCTTATGGAACACCTGTAAAAAAAGGGAGACTCTAATAAGCTGTATATCCACACAACTGAGCCCAGTAGTTCAATGACTGATTCGTCCTAACCGAAGGTTAAATATTTATCCAGGTTTCTTTAATTCCTTTTTACAAAAGCCTGTTTGAGATAATTTTCTCTATTCTCTTTAGAGCATGTTGTCACCTTTTTTAAAGCTTTCAGATCTGAAATCAAATGTCATCACTTCCATGATTTCATTATAAATTCTCCTTATTGTCAGCTATATAATACTTATGATGTTACTTTGGAGAAATTGCTATTGGATCAACATAGAGTCCCTTAGTTGACATTTTTCATCCCTTGTCTGATTCATATTGTGTTGATATTGTAAGGAGAAATTCTGTCTTGGTCACTCTGTGAGTTAAAGGATTAACCCAGCTTCAAACATCCTAGCCCTGATGAATAACTCTCCTGTGGGCATGACATAAAAAATAGACATATCTAAGATTTCTGGGTAACACAAAATATACTTACAATAACAAGAAAATCAGCATGGGTCCCTGTAAACACAGGAATGTCCATTGGCACTCTAACAGAGTATGGCTTATTGAGACGGACCCCTATCAATGAGATAATAACACCAAAATAATTGAAATAATGACAGTTATGTCAGCACTTGTCCTAGGCATTAACAAAATTTTCTACTTTATTGGGAATTTTAAATTTATTTTCATTGACTCTGTTGTTGTCACAAAGTTATGGAAGTATCATAATGAATGACTGAATAAATAATTTGTTCATGCTCTGAACCTACCAAAATTTCTTTCTCCACTTAAAAGCAGTAATATGAACACTCCTATATGCATCAAACCTAGTCGAGCTGGAGAAAAAGGAAAAAGAAGAATGATATATTTACTACTAATAGCTTCCTGCATGTAAAAGCAAAAAAACTTTTTCTACTGTATTAAAGATCAAACCCTGAGCTGGGCGACTTACATTGATCAGACCTTGCATCATTCAAGTGATAAAGAATTGGGACCAAGATATCCAGCACATCACTGCTCTTCAGCACGTAGAACAGAAATTTCTGTTGGAGATTTTTGTTTATAAGAGAATGAGCTGTTAACTTGTGATCACTTTAAAAAGTAGCCAACAAACTGATGACAATAAAAACAAAATCAGTCTCTGGTTACCTTGTTTTGGTCACACATCTTCCAAAATAGAACTAGAAGTTCTTGATGGAAACTAACTTTCTTGCAAGAATTTGGAAGATATGTCTGAAAACAGAAAAGACAGTATTTACCACAATGTCCCCTTTAACTGTGAAAAAAAAAAACCTTGCAAATAAAGGTATATTATCCTTAAATTCTGGCCATTCTACTTCTCAGGATATCTTAGGTTCTTAAGTGTTTGGGAAATAATTCGATATACATAAATTTCTTGAATTACATACTTGAATAAGAGGGTTATTGAGTAGATTTGCAACACCATGGAGAATAAAGTAAAAGTCCTGCAATGAAATAATTCAACATAAGTATATGTATGTATATGCCACCAATTAAAGTGGTTATAACCAGGTTAACCCCTTACATGTAACTCCCATGAGTGACCAAGACAGAGTTTCTCCCTATAATATCAGTACAATATCAAGCACAAAAGTGATGAGAGTAAAGAAAAATATCAATTAGGGGATTATTGGTTGATTCAATATCAAATTCTCCAAACTCACACCATAAGAATTGTAAGATAGACAGTGAGGAGAAATACTAATGAGACCTTGGGAGTGAAAAGGTTAAATGGCTTCAAACAAATTGGTTTCTGTTCAGAACCTGGGTTAAATTACTTTACAGATATTTATACTTTGAAATCCAACATTTCACTTGCAAGTTCTTGCACCTATAAACTGCAGTAATACCATATGAATATTTTTACCTCTTCTCTATGTATTCGTGACAAATAATTACAGAAAAGGTTATCAACTGGAGGTTCCTAAAAACAAAAAAAACAAACAAAAAAAATTAATGCAAACATAATAAGATAAAATTTGTCCATTTAGACAAATATTTACATGAACAGAATCTATGAATCCACTTCAACATGGACTTGTTTGACTATAGTTTTTCGGCATCACATTGAAGATAAACCTTAAGTATGAGCTGCAACTTACGATGTTACAAAAAGAGAATCCTTAAAAAATTAACTCTTGGAGTAAATCTCAACCAGATCCCCTCAGGTATTAGTTGGTCACTACTACCAACTGAACTACAAGCCATCTGTTGGGAGGGAAGAAAACTTAATACTGGCATCTTTGTTAAGGAAAATCTATTCACAAAGGGTGAAAATAAAATCTGTCTCATTCTGACCTGTGGATAACACATGCAACAAAATGCAATTTCTTCAGCTGTATTGTAACTCTTAGTGAGGATCATTTTGTGACTCATTATCATCCAAACGTCTAATTTATAACTTATTTTCTATTTACTATTTCATATTTCATTTTATTGTTTACCATTTTATATTTACTATTTGTAAAATTCTATGAAAGTTGAAATAAATTCTTCAAGCTGAAACAACCTCCAGGCCCCAATTTATAGATGCACATGTGGATTGTAGAGAAAAATGCAGGGAACTGTTTTAAAATATATGTAGTTTACCTCAAAAGAGTGTTCTGTATCAGTTCCATTCATTGTAGTTGGGGTGGGCTGCATTGAATCATGATCCAAAAGGACAACAAGCAATTGAGCAGCAACCTCCACCAGAGGTTCACGGTAATCAGCAAACATAAGGTGGTTATATCTAGAAAATAAAAGAAAAATGTTACTATACTCTTCTAGTCAAAATCCCTTTTCATTTTCAAAGAAAATTGGACAGACAAAGTAACACCAACAGTTTAAATTTCCCAAGAATTCCATTGGATCCAGCAATTCAAGCACACATTCTCACATAAAAAAATATACATGGTTAAGTCTTCACAAAAACCAAGTAGCCCATTGCACCAGAGTTTGTCCCAGTTTCTCTATGAAATGATCACCTGTGAGAGAGCTCAACCTTACAAGTGATCATTTCATACAATCTCCCAACAATTTCAACACACTTTCAAGAAGAAAGGTGATGAGAATATAAACAATCATCATATCGAGAATAACGTTCATTGATATAACTTGTGAACTGTTGCTTTAAGCACTTAAAGCTATCACATCATACACAAGCACAGACACATAAATTTTTACATGATACATTAATGTGATAGTAAAAAATTTTGTGCAACAAATAAACCTCATATTATAAAGTTCTTGCCTGTTCAGGATGTCAATCCCTGGGTGCATGGTCACAGTTTACTTTTACAACTACACTATTTCTGTACTTACGGCACTCCATATCCAAGGGGGTCGTACGAGCACACAAGATTTAACAGAGAGGTGAATATTGGAAGAGCATGTCTGATAAAACAAAGCCAAGGAGAAAGATTATAACATCTTAATTATTTACCTTCAAATTGTATTCCATTCAGTTTTGCATTTATTTCATAGTAATCTCACTTCTTCAATAAGTGTTTATTATCACTGAGGAAAGTAATAAACAAATGCAAACACCTTTACCTATTCCCAGCTGATGAGAAAAACGACAGCCATTTATTTGGTCTACAGTGATTTTCAGCTACAAAACAAGATTAAAATTATTATTATTATTCATAGAATAATAATTTAAAAAATGACTACAATCAACCTCTCAGCCACCACAAATACATTGCACGAATCTAAGTCCTGTTCATTGAAGATCTTTTGAGAAAGGGGAATTTAAATTATATTCCCTCCAAGTTACCCTTGCATTAACAGACTTATCTGAATTATAAAATGCACATGTTGTCAGAATGATGAGTACTATATGCCAAGTTTGTTCTAAGGTGTGTTGCCCTATCCAATGGTTATAAATTACATGAAAAAAAAAAGTTGCTTGCTACCTGCTGGATTCATGTTTAACCATTAAGTAATTCAGCCCTTGAATGATCAGGGCCAGATATAACTAAAAAAAAATACTTGTTATTGTACTGGGCACAATTTGACATTTTTACCCCTCTAACACTGAGAAGTGATTAATGTTTTTCAGCAAACAGAATACTATTTTTCAGACTACTCAAACTCATCAGATGGAAATTGTTATCTTGATCTAACACCAAATTCTCATAACTTCTCAAAAGGAACTGTGTAGTAGCTAGAGGGGAGAATTAACAATCAGATCATGGGACTTTAAGGGTTAATAAAAGTTAACCTTTCCCTGGGAGCTTACCTGTGGGAGGAAGGTACATTGCTTCAGAAAAACAAGTCAGCAGTAATTTTAGAAGTTCAGATCTGCTGCAATCAAACTGTGGATTGCTGGGAGGGGAAGATGCAAATCCAACACCAGCTTCCCTGTGTTAAAG